ACCATTCCAAAAGATGCGTTCCAGCAGTGTTTCCAGCAATGGCAGGAACGCTGGGAGAAGTGTATACATTACCAAGGAGACTACTTTGAAGGGGATTAGGGTTTTGTACCTCAAAGTCAATAAATTTATTTTTGCCGACCAAAGGTCCGATACTTTTTGAACAGACCTTGTATTGTGCTGAACAAATATTGCTTCATTACAGATAGTACACGTTTTGTGTTCAGTAATGTGCTTGAATGATGCATTTTCTTTTCTATAGCAAGCTAAAAATGGGATGTTTTTTACTTTGAGCATGTGTATATATAGTCTGTGTGTGGAAAATAAATGTAGTATATGAATCATTGCGATAATATATTTTGTGCAATTAAATGTTCATTAACATTTTTGCAGGGTTTTTTTAATCAATCTTACCTTAGTCTAGTCTAGTCATTGGGGCAGCCATCTTCAATACAACATTATCCATGTGATTATAGCAGGATTTACAACACAAGCAGGTAATATGTGCTCAGATAACTGTTATGTTCTACAATACCTTCTAACAAATTTCAGGAAAACGTCAGTTTTGTGCCTACTATATTCAAATTGTCTTTAATGAGTTTCTTTTGTACTTTATATACAATCTTGATATTGCTATACATTTTGCACTAGTACACACTACTGTATGCTTCTGATCTGTTTACACAAGATTTTTTATTGATTTGACATGTCAACAATTGTAATTTTCCAAGACTCCCTAATTTACACTTAAATTTGTGCTTTGATTGTTTTGTTGATATGGTTGTTGATTTCATTGCAGACAGTGTGCCTACCCTCCTTAAATTTCTAGACTTAATTGTACATCTTAAATTAGCTTAAACAACTGTCTCCATACTGAACTACCATTTTATGATAAATTTCACTTGTTTCATACCTTCTGATCACATTTTGTGATTGGAAGATATGAAAAAAGTGGAATTTTTAATACCTTGCTGCTCCTTGACAGTGCATTCTGACAGTTAGGTAGCCTCTTTGATATGATTGTATAACAGGATTTTCAACACAATCTTGATCAGATAGTTGTTTTGTAGTATCATCTAGCAAATTTCAAGGAAAATCAGTTTTATATTCATTATACTGAAATTGCCTCTAATTAAATTAATGACTTTCTCTCCTATCATAAGATTTTGAAAATATCTGATAATCTGTCATTTTCAAAAATTCATCATCACTGGTTCTACAGGTACCTGATTTAATGAACATCTACTGTATTTCATATTAGTTGAAGTAGAATTTAATGCTTGTATAGTTAATTTCTGAAAATTGTAAGAATAACATAACATATAATTATTTATTTCCATATTTATTAAATGCATTCTGACTTTCAATTATTTATATTCCAATTTTTTCAGACTACATCAAGAGAACAAGAATTAAAACATATACAAGAATTTGAGCAAAAACTTAATATGCAAGAAAACTATGAAATCAAAGTAATGAGGATGCAGAAAAATTTAATGAAATTGCAAATTAATGAATTGAAATCTCAAGAAAATGAAGAAATACATAGTAATATTGAAACAACAAAAAGTAAAGTTTCTTCAAAAGAAGAAAATGAATTTAAAAATAAATCACCAAATGTGCATAAAAACTATACAGAAAATAATTCAGTAAATAATTTTATTAGAACTAAAACTTACAATAATGGTTACAGGAAAACTGGATATGAGGTAAGTAGTAATTGATTGTAATAACATAATTTCCCTATGAAAGCTATGTAATTTTTTTCATTTTCCTTATATATATGAAGAGACTTTATTGAAAGCTATAAGTTAAGAATGATATTGGAAAAAATCAACTTTATTAATGAAAAAATACAAAAAATATAGAGGAAACTCATTTGCCTTCATACTTCCATCATGTCTAATCATCAAGAACAAATAGTCTTCACTTCACAGAAATGATCTTTTATTGGAGGCTACATCTCTGCACTGTTATATAAAACAGTTAAAAGTTTGCTGATGTTAAGCCAAATCCTTTAAAAATATACATAATTTGAATTAAAAAGTCAGATAGTACATTTCACATTATAAAGTGATGATTGTTTGTTCCTGATGATTAGACATGATGGAAGTTTGAAGGCACATTAGTTTCTTCTATATTTTTTATATTATGAAATATACCTGCCTTTTTAATTCAAATTTATTAATGAAGATAAATTCTTTATTTCAACATTAAATTTGATTAATGTGTTAAGTTGGAATTTATTGTGTTATAACCAGTGGTGATATTCAGCGGGTTCGCACAGGTTCGGCCGAACCCGTTGTTAACATTTTCAAAGTTTTCCGAACCCGTTGTTAAACACACGTAACATTTCTCAGTGGTTTTGTTTCTTTTAAAAAATATATTAAAATATACGTATTATACTCTGTAACACTACTAAACTAGAGCCTTATACCCCGTTCGCCATGGTGCAACCTCCATCGACCGTTTCAATCTCGACTGAAACGAGATTTAATCGCGATCGACTCAAGAGAGTTCTTGAAACTAGGTCCAGTCATACGAGAGATCCCACAATCCCACGCGCGCGAGAAAATACAAGATGGCTGCGGAACACGTGTCGGGCTATCGACAGCGAAATAAAAAAGATATTGTATTTCGAGAAACGATGACATCTGTCTATTATTATAATAATACCTAATGATAAAATAAATGATTTAGAAAAGTTTTTTCTTGAGAAAAAGTCATAGGGAAAGCAGTTAACTCCTTGGGACTCTAGCAATTTTTGATATTAATGTAATTAAACATAAAAAATACTTAAAACTGAAAAAAACGAAAGAAATGCGTTAATTTTGAAGAAAAAGCTTCAGATTTTATTTTCCTTTGTCTCGTCTTTCTGTGAAATCTGACGCTGATGAGTCATTGTTTAAACAGCTGGATGACCTTGAACACAGCTGGAGTTGGATTTCCCGGGACATTCTCATAGAAGTCTCGGGAGGCGATGGGTTTATAGTAGGGTGAATACTAGCTGGCCGTATATTTTTAAAAAATTAAAATTTTTATTGCGATTTCCGACCCCCCGACTTAATTAAACTTATATATAATAAAATCTATTAATTAAAAAAATTTAAAAACTATCGGAGGTCGTTTTTGACATCAGAAACTAGCTTTAAATAACTTTACCGAAGTAAAATCCGTGCACTACAACTTTAGAACGATGAATGAAATTTGATATCAAACTTCCATTAAAAAACAATTAAAAAGCAATTAAGCGTGAATCGTGCGTCATTAAAGGTAAATTAAAATCGCGATAAAATTTTTTCGCGCGGGAAAAAATTTTTGAAAAAATTTGGAGACTTAAAAAACATTCCAAAAATCAAAAAAAAAAATTTTTAGAGGGTCCAAACGGCCAAGTTTTATGTAACGCTATGTAACTTGCCCGAGATATCTCGGGATTGGGGTTTAATTAAAAAGGAAAAATTTTCTGTTAGCGAACGCTTTGTTAAATATTTCGAATATCACCACTGGTTATAACTGATGTCTGGATATTAATGGAACAAAATAATTGAATTCATTTACATTTTTGTTGTTTTTTTCAGAACACTTATTTTATACAATTTTTCTTTTTTTTTAATTATACAGTAGAACCTCGAAAACTCGGCCTAATGTGGACCGAAGGGTGGCCGAGTTTGTGAAAATGCCAGGTTATCGGAAATGGGGTTAAAAAAATAAGTACAAGTGTTTCCTCAGAAAATACTGTACTGTACTTGTATGTATTGTTTACTTGAGAATATAACAGAGAATAAACTGCTCAAATACCCTTAAACAAAGGAAAAGTACTCCCTTTAAGAAGGCATAGAGCCTTTACTACATGAAAATGAAAATTAATGAATACACTGTGTACAGTAATTTACCTGATAAGACAGACCTCAGAAAAATACTTTATGAGAGCTTTTATACTTTTATAAAGCTGTCTATAATGAAAATTAATTTACTAAGGATTTTTTTGCCCTGCCAGGGTGTGGCCGAGTTATCCGGAGTGCCGGGTTATCGAGAGCCGAGTTTTCGAGGTTCTACTGTAGTAGATTCCTTTATAATGGTACAAAATTGAATAATGTTACATGAAAATAACAGGTATATTTTATGTATAAATTGGAAAATTCTTGTAAAAAAATTAGATTCCTAATAGTGTAACTTTAAAATACTATCTAACCTTATTTTTTAAAATTATACTAGAAAAAAACAACAACAACAACTAAAATAATAAATAAAATTATAAGCTCCCAACCAACATAGCAACATTGTACCTTTTTAATCAAGAAAAGCCAGCCACCCACCCATAAGCACTTAAGTTTTACTAATCATTCAAAGGTCATACAAAGCAATGTATTACATGAACCATTATTTTCTTTGAATAATAATATTACATAAAAGTAATATAATGTGAGCCTTTAAGGAAAGTCTGCTATAGTTATAGTTTTTGTGATGATTAAAATTGAGTGGTGGTGATAAAATGTCAGATTTTTCTTTTCCTCTCTTATTGATGCCACCAAAATAAAATAATAATTTTATTTTAGTGTCTTTAATAAAGAGAATATCTTGATGAATAACATAATAAATTCTAATTTTATTTTAAAATTTCATTTATACTAGAATCATTACCTACACTCTAAACAAAGTTATTTTGAAAGAGGTAGAAGAGGCCAGAGAGGTTCCAGAATAGCTACAAGAGTTAATAATTATCGTGGAAGATACAGAGGAAGCAATAGAGAAAGATTTCCTAGTAAGACAATTCATACTATATTTTTAAGTTTTTAATTTATAGATAATATATTTGTTTATAATAAACTTATTTCAGAGTTTTAACAGTTTCTTTAATTATGGATTGAATTAAAATAATATAAATAAGAAATAAATTTTTATATTTGTATACAGTTGTGACAGAATATTAAAATAATCAATTTTATTGCCTACATTCATAAGATGCAATGTAAGATTGAATCTATGAAGGTCTAAACTTGAAAACAAGATAATTTGTTTTTTAATAAAGTTCATGAAATAAAAAATAATAATTAACTCAATTATGACTCATATTTCAATACAACATGGAATTTTAATCAGTTTCAACTGGTCTATAATAGCAATATACTTCATGTTAACATGATCTCTTGCATTCTTATTCTATAAAAATAGTAATCCTTTAAAATAAAAGGAAACTCAAACTGCTTGTTAAGGAAGCCAAAAACATTCCTATTTTTGCCGTCCTTAACAAGCAGTTTGAGTTTCCTTTCATTTAAATATGGCATCGAATTTCATTCATTTCCAGGAGAGTTCTCTACTCTCAATCATTTGGAGGTAGCTATTCATACTATAATTTATTCTATTCTATTACTTTAAAATGCAAAATAAATGCCTTCTAGATCTATATATAAAACAATTCTGAAATAATTTTGTAGCAAAACAGTGTATGAGTCATTTTCATGGTAACTAATAGTTTGTATTAATCTTATATTTTTATTTTGTTTAATATATAGTTTTTACAAAAGATTTATTTATATTTTTTTATATATTTCTGATGTTTTAATTAGACATTTTTAAAATTAGTATGAATAAAACTTTAATTTTATTCACAGTTGAAACAAAAACAAAAAATTAATAATCTGTTTAATTTTTACATTTAGACATAATTAGAATTTTTAAGTTAATTTTCATTGTGTATCACAATGAAAATTACAAGCCGTTTTGTTATTCAGCTTCTTTATTTTAATTCTGCAAATATAAAGAAAAATCAAGATAAGATTACTAATAGATAACAAATACTCAAGTAATTTATATTTGAGTGTCAAAAATATTAGAATAGATATTAATTAAAATAACATTTCCTTATTTACAGTACTATATTTATAGTACTGTAAATAAGGAAATGTTATTTTAATTAATATTTATACTATTTAGTATAAATATTCAACTTTATTAATATTTTTTTGTGTTTCTTGAATTATTTTTACACAATATAAAAATATCTAACATATTTTATTGTGCTGTCATTAAAATAACAATGTCACTAAAGGATGAATAGCTAAGCCACTGTCACTCAGCAAAATAATCAGTGCACCTTTAATAGTGTGTGAAATTGATTCACAATAAATGTAAAATCCTAAAGTAGTGTTTTATCTACAGCAACATCTAGAGATCAATACTTTTTTAATCTCATATTAAAATACATTTACAACTCTCAAATATCTAATATCAAAGTTCATAATCAGAAATTAAAAGTAAAGGTTATTTCATACTGATAGCAAATTGCCAGCAAAAGCAAAGGAAATAATACATCATTTATGTCATTTCCAGCAAATTTTAGCATATTGTATCATTTATCAATTTGGAATTGTCAACCTTTTCACTAGCAAAAAGTTTTGCACCTATCACAACAGTTTTTGGATTTCCAAGAAAGTTACTGGAATTGTCAGTCATAATAGATGAATGTAGAACAATTTTTAGAAGAAATAAAAGGAGCTTTGTTTTCATACATCAAGAAGGATTGTAGATATAAAGACATGGAGTTATGAGAAAATTGATGCAGGTTTATTTCTGAGTGCTGTAATTTGATAAGTGAGTAAAGTTTGCTGACTATTCTCTGTAACATGGATGGCAAAGCATGTCCAAAGTGGCACTGAGAAATTTCTGACACACATGATTTGGCTTACTTTTTATTAAATACATGGTTTGAAATTAGCAGTTGTCTGAATGTCCCAAACAACCAAAATTTTCTTTGGACTACCAAATACATTTTTGAAGTTGTTTAGCAGGAAATCTAATGTATTTTCTCAAGCTATTTTTTCTTAACTTATTTGTATTTTGGGCATATTTTATTTCTTTAAATAGTAATCAGTACTTTCTTAGTAAGAATAATAATAAAAACATAACCAAATGAAAAAAATCCATTTGAGACTTAAAACTCTGTTATGACAAAAAATCCAATATGGCCCCATGCTGCACAAATACTAAGCAGATAACATTTGAGATGAGAAAATAAAAAAATAAAGCATTGGTAAATGGAAGAAAACTATTGATGGTTTATGAAGTAATAGTCTTTTGTATGAACTATAGAACACTATTAAATTAATAAAAGTCTTTAAAACATATTATCATTATATTGTAGCCCTAGGTTCCATTGCAGATATTGTTCATTTTGATGTGTACTATCACCCCTCTTTTTTACTTTCCCGGGTCTGTTATATATTACAGAGGGAAAGTATGGCAATCAATCAAAAAATGACCCCCAGGATTCTTACATTTTTGGACTCAAGATTTTGAAACATCAAGTAATGAAAATATATGGGGGTTTTTTTTCTATATCAGGCCTCGGAGTCGCTCACTTTTCTCACTTGTACTCACTTTTCTCACTTTTCAGGTCATTTTCTCACTTTTTTGGTCATTTCCACGTGCTTAAAAATTAGGAAGATGTGGGACCAATCAAAAATAGTTTTAAAGCCAGACGATCTGCCGAATTATCGAACCTATCAGACTAGAATTTTATGAAAAAAATACTCCGCCCAAGCGGGACTTTTAAGCGCAACTGCCGCTCAGTGTTGTTAAGTTATCGTCTGTATTTATACGTAACTAGGTAGTCAGTTAATTAAAACAAAAAATAATAATTAAATTTTAAAAATATTTAACTTAAATTTAAAATTAAATTAAAATTTTAAAACTCTTCTTTATAACGAAACAAAAACCGAAATCATAGCTAAAATTAAAAATAAAATCAAAATTAATTAATGTAAATTAAAATTGAAATCAAATCAATTGAAACATATTATTTGGGAAGGTGCGGATAAAGTACTTGTCGGTCTTGATTGATTTGGTTAGGTCTATATTTCATGCATGCATAGCTGAGAGTCTATTTATAGCACTTATTTGTAAAGGGTTAGTTTTGGTTTCGACGGTATGGGAACATCCGCAGGAAAAAGTTCCTCGTTATTTATGAAATCATTAATAAAATATTATTTTACTTATTCTATTTGAAATCTATTTATTTTGGATTTATTAATTTATTTTTAAATCAATATTTACACATCTCTAAGTATTTAAAAAAATAAACAGTTTCCAATCGTGCTCATAAAAGTTTCGTTTTCTGCTTCTTATCGTTTGATTTTGTTCATAATAAGAGTTGTTAATTTTATTTCAAATTAATATAATAATCACATTACAAAAATGGAAAATTTATATACAAATAAAATTTTGAAATACGTTAAACTATTGAATTGTAAATATAGTTTGTGTAGATCTAAATAATTTACATTTAATGTTAATTTTTGACAAATTATATATATTTAAATGATCAAATAAAATTGATAAAACATGCAAAAAATAATTTTCTAAGTATTGCTTTATTTTATTGGTAATTTTTTTATTCTTCTGTTCTATTTTAACACGTGCAGAGAAGTGACCGATCACGTGGTCAACACGTGTTTACTCTCTTTCGATTGTGATCGACCAATAAAAATCTCTAGCGGAATGATACCGACAAACTGTTGGTTTATAGCAGGTTCCAAGTTAGAATATAGATGTAATGGTTTGAATCCACTCAATATGACGCTACCAAAGTGCAAATTCCGAACTGATTGGTTGAAACAAAAGGACAAGGCAGATTGTACAGTAGGATTATGGGCAACTGTACGTTCAGACACTGATGTATTTTGCAAAGTATGTAATTGCATAATACAAGTAAAAAAAGGTTTCCAAGCACTTTTTGATCATGGAGGTACTGTCAAACACAGACAAAAATTTACCTGTGCTTATGGTCCAAGACAGTTACACCTGACATTGGTTGCACCAGGTGATAGTTTTGCAGGCCCATCAAAAAATGATGAAATTCCAAGTAATACTGATAATGGGACTGGAGAAGGATTGGCAACTGTGAGTTTATATAATCCAAGAGATGCTGCATACCATGCAGAACTGATATGGGCCATGAAAACAATATGTAGTAATTTCTCATTTGCTGCTTCTAATAATATGGTTCCAACACTACAAGCAATGCTTCCAAAAACTAAACTTCCTGAAGGAATATCAATGAGTGAGAAGAAATTGCGCTATTTAATAACTGAAGCATTGGCTCCCTACTTCCAAAAAAAAATGCTAGAAGAAATCCACTCTTCATTTTTTACAGTTACTTATTATGAAACCATCAATGTGGAAAGTAAGAAAGAGTTACAGATAATGATTAGATTTTGGTCTGAGCAAAAAGAACAAGTTGTCTGCAGACACCTAAATACATGCTTTCTTGGACGGGCAGATGCAGAAACATTGCATACATACATTATCAAAGCTATCGATGATGCCAACCTGTCACTACACAAACTTTTGATGATAGGATCAGATGGTCCTAATGTTAATCAAAAAGTGTTACGACTTTTTAAGGAAGATATACTGGGAATTCGCAAGAAAAGTAGTTTACAGAAACAGAAAAAAAGAGCAGAAGAGGAAGCACAGAAAAATTTTGAAGAACATCAAAAGAGAGCTATTCATGTCAAGGAAAAGATTATGGCACTGCAGCAGAGTTTAAAACAGAAAAAAGTAGAAGTGAAATACACGAGACAGGCCAGGTTTTGTTAGAAGCAGCAAACAAAAAACTGGAGAAGGCCATTAATAGCAAGAATATGAATGAAATACGGGCAGCACATGTCATGCTTGCTAGTGTTAAAAGTGTTCAAAAGCAAGAGGAAGCAAAAAAGAAGGAAGTTGAAAACATTCAGAAAAATCTTAATAAAAGAACATCATCTTTCTTGACTGATTATTTACAGAAGAAGCCAAAGACTTATTAAGTATTCATGGTTTACTGGAAATATTACAGTATATACAAAAAGTTTTAAAATGTATTTAACCATAACAATAAAAATAAAAAACTTTTACTGCTATTTTGCTGAGTTTTCTTTCCATGTTTTCACTTTGTTTTGTCACTACAGGTAGCTCTCAGTTTACACCGCAGTTCCATTCCTACAAAATCCGGCACAAATGAAATCAGCGTAAAATGAACCCATATTTACAGTGAGGTATAGTGTTAGGATCTACATAAGTGAAAAATAAGCAAATAATTTTGTTTATTAATACAATATAATGCAAAATACATATAAGTTTAATTTTTAAAACGTATTTTATCATAAAATAAAGTGAAATGTTTTTATTAAAAAATTTTAGTTTCGGATCTCGTACATTTTTTGGAAAGAAGTATTCATCTTTAATAACCTTTCCTACACTCGATGATTAAAAAATTAGCTCACAAGAATAATTTAAGAATAATTTATCATTGTAATCCTACGATTTATAGAATTCTACAAAATGATAAGAAGAAAGGAAACCGTAACAATAGTACAGGAGTGTATTCTATTCCTTTAAGTGACCACTGTTTTAATTCAGATCTCGTTTACGTTGGTGCCACTATGAGACTTTTAAAACAGAGGCTTAAAGACCATCTTTAATTGTTTACATTTTTGTTTTCTTTCATTGAGAATTTCGGAATATGGTCGAATATGATGCTCCTTTTTACATTTGCACTTCTCTCCCAATCATTGTCTAACTCACAAAGTTCATCCATCAAACTTTCCATTGTTGAAAGGATACATTAACCCGACATAGAGCTACAGACAAGCGGAGACACTGATTGGTCGACCACTGGTTGCCATAGCCCATATATAAGGTCAGTTTGAGCAGGAAAATTGAAGGTGGCTAAGAAGAGATAGATATCGTCTGGCCAATGAAAAGTAGATTTGTCTCACTAATGATGATTTGTGATCGCTGGAAGTGCTACTGCGTCGTAAAGTGTTTTCCTGAACGATCTGATACGGGATACATTCATTGGCACTATTGATTCAGACACCATTTGTTGGACTATTAAGTTTAATAACTTGACTCGTGGGTACCTAAATGTTTAGTATTTTAATATTAATTTAATGCAAATGTATATATACCCAATAATATTAAACAGAAAAAATAAATATATTTAATAAAAATCTTTGTTTTAACGAATGTACAATGTCGCGGTTCAGTAAATATGTCAATACTGAAATGAAAATCAGTCTAGCATAGGGAAAATTGGGGAATTACACTGCAAAATAGCAAATTGCACAGCGGCATTATTGTGAATCGGTGTAAATTGAGCTGGCGTAAACCAAGGGCTACCTGTATTGCACTCACTTTTTCTGTATTTCAACTCACTTTTCTCACTTTTTCAGAGGGGAAATGGCACTCCCAGGCCTGTAATTAACATAATTAAAGTAATTTAAAATTGTAACATTCATTTTGGAAGATCCTGTGTGTTAATATCTAATAAGGAATTCCAATAAAATTCTGTCCACTGGGTAAACCTTATCATACTCACAAATACAAAGTACAATAATTAATTTAGTTTTCTCTCTAAATTCTGTTTTCATTATTTGTTAGCATTAATGAAAGTAGACAGTTAATAATTAAAGCATAATGAATATATGAAAATCAATACTTAACTTGTTATTCAATGGTAATAGTTTTACATAATGTTATTTGTTAAGCAAAAGCACATAGAAAAATCATGCTGGCTCATAAACTGCAATATTATGATATATGTTGTCTTAAGTTTTAATGTGTCGAATTGAATAAAAACTTTAAAATACATACAGTAAAATTAATGATTTGTAATTGTAAATAAATTAGAATTTTAACTTCTATTTCAGTTTTAAGCTATTGATTTAATTTGATTTTTTTTCTTATGTGGTTAAGATATTTTTAAAATCATCACTCATTAATAATAATAATATATACAGTGACCCCATATTATGATGATACAACCTCTTCCTGTTAAAATTGTATAAATTTTTTATTATGACTGCATGAAGTGCTATAATTCTTTAGTTGCTTCATTATCTCTGCATAATATTATATAGTTAAAACTGTATTTCCAGGAATGTAATCTCAGTTTATGACATTGAACTTTTGGGAAATGGGACAGCTTGCTTCACAACAGTTCATTTAATGACAGTTTGCCAGAAATCAATTAGCTTATAAATATAGGGGATACTATACTGTCAAAAGTAAATATCAAGGTAATTAACTGATCCTTTTGAAAATTGAAGAATCAGTCTCACTGCTCAACATGTAGATATTATTATCATTTGATTCAATATTATTCTTCAGTTAAAATACAACTCTTTGTGTCTAATCCTTAATAAATATATATTATGTTAGATTAAAATTGATATATTATTTAAATATTTTGTAGGTAGAAGAGATATGGAAGACATGAATTATCGTCCAGGTATGTCAAGATTTGAAATGTTTTCCAGATGATTTTTCTCATCACAGTGATCACAAGAAACATTCTAATTAGAATAATTTATTTTCAAACATTATCAAATTTTTAAAAATTAAATTTTTTCTTAAATAAATCTAAATAATTTATTTGTCCACTTTTATAAGATCAGTTTTTTATCTACTTCATGTCTACTAAACTTTGTATATTTTTAGGATTTTTTCTCTATTACAGCCTACCATACTTCTGATAATTTGTCAACATCATTCTCATTTGCTACTATGTAATTTATGCTTTCTGCATAATTATATATTTGTTCCATGTGCGGCTGGCCCACTATAATCTGCAGCCCTGTACACCAAATGCATATCAGCTAACTCTGCATCCTTGTGCAAAATGACGATTTCCTGCAAGAACGCTCGGAACTTTCATGCAATGCCATCTACCGTGTCAGGAAAGCATTTCCGACCCCACATTGCTATAGGATTCCAAGTCGTCGGGATGCACCCTACCCCTCTTAGAAGTTCTGAAATGTTTAACTGAGACACCCTGTATATCAAGAGAAAAGTTTTGTAGTTATTTCAGTAGTAAAGAGGAAGAGAATCTCTTAAGTAGTTACTTGTTTGGTTCTTGTCAAGTGATATATAAATTAAAATGTTTTGTACTAGGAGAAGATTTCAAGTATAATCATTTGAAAATTGAGGACATGTCAAAAATTACTTTATTTAAGATCTTTTTGTTCTTTTCTAAATCTTTAGAATTATTGTGATAATTTATCACTATGTATATTAAATGACATTATATAACCAAATTCCATTGTAAGAAATAATTTAAATCAATAAACATTAAATTAAATATCTGGTTCCAATAGGAATTCAATACTTCTTTTCATTGCTCTCAAAGCAATTGAATTTGGACTTGTCTGAAAAGTGACCCTCTTCCAACTTTGGTCTTCTGTAGCAAACTGCAGTTTTTGTGCTTTTCTATTCTTATTTATCAGAGGTTTCTTGACTCCGACCTCATCAAATAGTCAAATATGTAGTTGTCTTGTAACTGTTCTGCAACTAACAGAGGCAATTTTTTTTGCATAGTTCTCAAGCAATATCAGCAGCTTTTTCTTTAATGTAGCCATATATTTTGATTTGATAATCCTGTCCCATTTTAGCAGTTTTTTTTTTGTCTACCACATTCTGGTTTATCTTTTAAACCCCAATCAACATATATCTAGATAAAATATTGTTCACTGTTGATTTCCCAATGGACAGAAGTGATGCTATTTGCCAAAAAGTCATCCATCTAAAGAGAGCTTGACTTCAGTCATGCATTTTCATGGTTATGTGCAGAGGCATTTTACAGTTTGAGTGATTCTCCTTTGCTATGCGTAACAATGCAAAACACTGAGTGGATTTGACTAATAAGTAAGATATATATTTGCATAATGAGAGAGGCCAGAAACTTTTGTATATGTGTAATCACTTATAAATTAATAATAAGAAAGAAATACTAATCTAAAAATTTATTATTGAATTTTTATGATTTTCATTCACTGGGCTTTTGCTCATTTCAGATGGATAGATTTAAACTTCATTTGTTGGGTATACAGTGAAATTTCCATCTAGCTGGAAACTTTTGCATACCACTGTATATGCTTGTTAATTATTTATGTAAAATTATATAAAATTACAGGAAAAATTTTTTATTTTTAGTTTTTTTAATATATTCTTGTATATAAATAAAATTACATATGCCAAATTTTTACAATGTGAATTTTAAATATTTTAGATTTTATAATCTTTCCCAGAATAAGAATAGAGTCAATGTTTAATAATATACATACACAAAGGAAAGTAACTTTGTATTCAGTACAAAGTAGAACATAATATATTTAGAACATATATTATGAATTATAAGATAATTTTAAACTGTTATAATTTATTTAAAATTCTGATATTTCTGCAACAAATTTAAATTATAAAAAAAGAAAAAAATATCACAAAATGTCATACAACATAAAGTTTGAATTTTCAAAGTTTTTATTTTGTTCTGTTTTATTGAATAACTAGGACAGCAGAATGATAACATCTGGCACATCAACACCATTCTTATTTTGGGAAATGCTATAGATATTTAGTTTGTAATTTTAACTGGATAGAAATTGAACTATATTTTTTTATAGGATTCAAGAGAGAAAACCCCAGAGATATTAACAGTGATGATGGATTAATAAATCGCCAGTCTGTTCTTGAATTAGTTCCTGCAACTGAAGAAGAAGAAGAAGAAATGCTTAGACAGGCAGTTCAGCTTAGTAAACAACAGATGTTTATTGAAAGACTTCAGAAAAAGTAATAACAAATATGTATTTTATTTTTAGTTATAATTATGAACCTACATACATTAGTAGAAAATTAAAACTTTAAGATGCATTCTAAAGTAATAAATAACTGTCCAAAGTAGATGATTATATTTAGTTTCTTTTACAAGTACTTGAATTGTCACTATATTTTTTAAACATACATATAAAATCAATAAACTCTCAAAAAAATGATACGAGAAAGAATAGAATAGCCAAAACAGCAGCATCCAGAATTCATCTTACCATATACAGTGAAAACTGCTTAGGCGACCACCTGCATTCGACGGGCACCTGTCAAAACCGGCAAAAATTTCTGGCACGGAATAGTTTATCCATAGAGTCTTCGTATAAGTTACCTGTATTAAACGACCACCTGTGTAACGCATCCGCGGGCATCGATTTTTGGTCCGAAACAACATACAACACCTGTAATAAGTGACCACTTTCGCGAATGTATCTGGTCTAAACTATTGTTCGAACCCATCTCAACAACGTTTCCCCCTCCAAATATAATCAATTACTCTAAACTCTCGTTCGAACCCATTCCGGGCACTTCTCCCACCCTTGAAATTAGATGCAGATGTTAATAAATTAGTCTAGCAATAAAAGTATAAAATATTGTACACGGTTGATCTCATCGTTTGATAAAAATTGTTTTACTTATTATTATTATTTTTGAAGCTCATATACATTACATGTGCGATAAATAGTTTCTGTATCAATCTACCTTATTTCCACGATATTTTTAGAAAAATAATATCCAAGTAATTTTCGCACACAAAATATTCAAAAAGCAATAAACGCATTAATGCAAAAATCAGTTTTACAGGCAACATTCCTTTTTCGATTCCGCAATGACAATCGGGGAATGTGATGAAATCATATAATGAAAAAAATAATAATAAAATCGTTTTATTATTAATTAATAACTTTTCTTATTGTACTTAAGAAAATATTTAAAAAATACAGTATTTTTAAAGTTAAAATAAGATTAAAGTAACGAATACCAAAACCAAAGTGATGTAGAGATACGATGCGCTTGTATATCGATGGCGAAATACACGTAACTGAAGAGCGAACGAAAACAACCGAGTCGAATTAATTAAGTTGGAAAAAAAAGTGTACATTACAATCGAGAAAATGCGATTATTGTATTAATCTTTAAAATATTGGTATTAAATCTGTCTTATAAAATCACGACGACTCTTGTAAATCGAGTTACAGTATCCGATAAAAATAAAATATAATACTAATATAGCCCTATCGTTTAAAAATTTCGCTTATTTTTGCTCATCTCGAGTTTTGCTTAGTAGAAATGACTAAAAAGTGCGCAAAATACGTGCGGAAATACAGTATTACAGAACTACCCGTATTGGACGACCACCTGTCTAAAAGACCACTTTTTGAAGGAACCGTGGGTGGTCGCCATAGACAGGTTTTACTGTACTCTCAATAATGTAAAATGTGTGAAACTGAAATATTCTGTTTCTTCTTGAAAATTTTTGACATATTTTCAGTTGAATTCAGTAAAACCTCTGTTATAGGTTTTGCTCTTATATGTTTTTTATGTTTATACATTTTATTTTAGAAGTCCAGGTTAAGTCTCCTATAATCTGATGTTATTTTCTTTCATTTATTTGTTTTCTGCTCGCTTGTGTTTTTTTCACTTTTATATTTAGTTTGTCTTGACATTGTACAAAAATTCACTTATATGTTTTCTTGATTTTTACTTTTTACCAGGTTGAAATAAAATACCTTTCAATAAAAATGGAAAATTTAGTTCTGGTTACAGTAATACCCCGAACTTATGCGATAGATGGGACTGAGTGATAACCACGTAAGTCGGGGTATAATTTCACAATTTGTGTAAAATCCAAGTCGGATGTATGTAAGCTAATAAATGTTCTCGTTAATCTTATCTCGTCTTTTGATTCGTTCACGGTTACAAGAAATCACCACATAGAGTCTCTCATGTCTCCGTAGATATAACAAACACAAAATAAATTGTAGCTATGTGTCGATTCCACATGAAATGTCCGAACATGTAAGCTGAACAGTAGTGTGGGGGGAGTGAGTAATCAAGAGTTGCGTGGTGCTCAAACAAAAGACGAATCGACGAGATTTGAAAATTGCGTAACTCCAGGTTCGCTTAAGTCGAGGTATTGCTGTATTTTTGTTTTTTAGTTGTTGTTCTATGTTCAGTTTTACATTATATGCTGAAGATGACTTGAAGTGAGACCAAAAACATTCCAAAATGAATAATTTTGGTGTTTTTAATCAGACAGTTATTGTTTTTTTAACCATAATTATTTAAATGTTTACTTTTTATATAATTATCTAGACAGAATTTCTAATTGCAATGTTTTATTTTTTGATGGATATTGCAAAAAATGTATTACTCTGAAAATTAAACAAAAACATATATATATATATATATATACATACATACATACATACACATTTCCACAAATATAATCAAAAATTAAAGATAAAGCTGCTTATTTTGGTTTTGTATAGCATTCCTGAAGATGATCATTGCTTGCTCAAAAATGCTTGAACACCAAAGTTTGTGAAAGAGTTTTAAAATCAAAAATTTGTTTAAAAAGTAAAAAGGAAAGTTTAGTAAAATAAAGAAAAAACAATAATGAATAAATAATTCAATCTATCTAAATAATTTCAAACAAGATATTCTTCTACAATAGTTGCATTGCATCTTTGGTGACTTTTAATCTTTTTCCATATCTTATCCCAAAATTTATGGATTGACTGCTTTAACACATTGTTGCCAATTTCTAATCTGTGAATAAATTTTTTTTTTATGAAGTCGTTTCTATTTGTCTTTTCTTTGATTTGTTTACTACCTATTTTTTACTAACTTGTTTTCATAGTTTATTTAATGTTTAGAATTTAAAAGGGACAGCCATTTTTTACAAGTTTTTTTACAAATATTTGTAAATGTTTACTAACTTGTAATAAATTTCATTAAGAGTAACTTAAAAATAATTTTGTTCCAGGAATAAAATTTATTTGTTAGTTTAGTTATGTTTACATATTTTTAGAGACAACATATGTATTATTCGTGTAACCTATACAAAAGTGTGAGTCAAAACAAACTGAGATTGATTTCCCCTTTGACAAGATAATTTTAGTCAAGAATAGTCAACATAGTTCTCAATTAACAAGGATAATTCACTAGAAACGAAATGTGGATTGTATGTTGGATGCATATATATTTTATAGCCGAAATCTCAGTCGCTATGATAGCAACATGTGGATGAACTGCACACTGTAATGATCCAACTTCATTTGTCATAGGCAGAGAGTGGATAACATTTGTTTTGTGCATTCCAGCAGCCTAATAAACTGTCATATTTCTATATAATTTTTTGGACAGATTTATTGATAATCCCTTTTTTTATGGAAAAAAAGGAAAGCCTGATTTGGAGGAACTCAAACAAGAAGTTTCAATGGAAAACAGATTTTATTATTGATAATCATTCTTTACAAACAATACAGATTGAATTTGTTAGTGCTATAGATTCTACAAGAAAAATCAGTTTATTTTGACTCACTCTCAAGATACAAAAAAATATTCTTAGAAAATATTGCTTAACAAATGTATATGTTACCGGCCAAACCCAATTTCAGGCCAAACTAGTTTGTCCTAGGCCAAACTAGTTTATCCTATGCATGTCAGGATATACTAGTTTAGCCTAGGATAATCTAGTTTGGTGTAAATACTTTAGACTTAACTAGTTTGACCTAGGCCAAACTGATTTATGTAATACAAATAGGTGCCAGTGTAAAAAAGAAAAAAATTGTGTAATTCGAAATGCCACCACAGTACACCCGGTGGTTAAAGTGTACCTAGGTAACCCCAATGGCGGTGCTTCGGTTAGGTTGGTTTGGTTAGGTTAACTACATTTTTAGTAGACGTTTCCTTTTTTTTCTTGTGTTCAAGAACTACCGTGAATCAATAACTAGTGATGTTAAACAATGGGTGGCCTGCTGGCGGCTCCCCTCTGGGAGGAGTCTGCCAGGAGCACGAACAGTCCGAAGTGCCGCCATTGGGGTTACCTAGGTACACTTTAACTCACCCTGTAAAAATAAATAAAAGATTAAATATTTTATATGTTACACTAAGAAACACAAACAAGTTCATTTTTAATTTTAGTTTGACTTTAATAGTTATTTTTATTATTTCGGTTGAATTTTTGAAAATATTTTCGAAAGTTAATTACCTTTAAAAGTGCATGGCTTAATAAAAAAAATACAAACTGATAAGTATTGATTAGCTTATTTTTATTTTATAGTTTTGTACAAGTGTTTTGTCACTTCTGATCAATACTGTTTTTTATAATTAAGTAGACTATGTTTGAATAAATATTTTTCATCTAATTGATTGCCTTTTAATTTTATTTTAACCATTAATATACTTAAATTGGGCCTGGCCAACCTGCGGCCCGTCACGTTAAATTGTGTGGCGCACTAAGCGACATTATATATCTATTAAAACTTTCTTTTTTCGTTTTGTATATACCAAAACAATTAAATAAATGAAAATTTGCCTGTGTCATTGAAATAATGCGTGGGTGTGAGTACTAACTCTTGGTATAACAATGAAATCTTATTCATTTTGTATTTGTTTTACTTTTTTAAAAGCATGTTTGCCTAAATTGTGGCCCATTGTAATGTTACACTTGATTAAAGTGGCCCGCGAAACAATTTGGGTTGGCCAGGCCTAACTTAAATAATAATTCTAAATCAGTTCGGCCTAGGACAAACTAGTTAAGCCTAAAGTATTTAGGCCAAACTAGATTGTTCTAGGCTAAACTAGTATACCCTGACACGTGTAGGATAAACTAGTTTGGCCTGAAATCGGGTTTGGCCGATAACATATATATATCAGTTTTAACGAAAATGTTAATTTTCTAAATAAAAAATACTATTTGTATTTTACAAACATGTATGTAAGAAATTTTTAAGTATTTCGTCTTCAATAACTTTGTATGTTTATTGTTTTAATGCATATTGTACTTATAATGATGATTTTGTATTTATATGTACTGTTAAAGGATAAAGATCTCTAAAAATATTCAATATAATTTTATAATTAAATATTTTGATTTATGGAATAAGGCTATATGAATTTTAATAATAGAGAGTTTGTGGCTGAAGTTCAAATGTTAAACTTGTATGGCAAGCAGAAGTACATGTTTGATATTTGAACTCCAAGTAAAACATGTTGCACCACACGTTTATGTCGTGCACTGACTCATGGGATATTGTTGAAAAATGGCGGAAACATTTAACAATGATGAGTGTTACCAGCGAAGGTAAATAAACAAATTAAACTATTTTAAAGTATTTATGGGATGTGTAATAACACTAAATAATTACTTTTGACTTTAATTAGCGTCGTGTCTCCTCCCGTATATTTCTCATGATGTACTTTTGTTGATGGAAATAGTGGCTTATGTAAATCTGAAAGCAGCTCAGGAAATTATTTTTAGAAAATTTACAAACATATTACACTGTTGATGGTAGAAGATGCTGTGAAAGAACAAACCTACTCCTACAGAATTATGATAAGCTATTATGAACCCAAATATATGTAAATTCTATAGGCACGTCACATCACTTGCAAAAAAATTGAATAATTAAATAATTTCTGGATTAAAATAATCTGTTTCTTTACATTATTATTCATAAATGCTAAAATAATTATTATTTTAATAAAATATGTCATAATTTTAACCCCAAACACAGAAAAATGAAGAAGTTTAAGCCGAACTTCTACTCACTATGCTAGACGTAGCAAATGCCATTGTCATCCTTCTAGACTTTCCAGATGCTGGTGCTCGATGTCTGACGTTCATGTTTTTGCAATGAAAATGCGGCCACAACCTCTCTATTAATTTAATTAGTAAAAAATTACTAAAAGGTTATTTGATCAGTTTTTTCAATAGACAATTTATTATAGTTTCTGCATTTAACTATGAAATTAATTATATGTAACTTTTCTTTTTATATTTAGACAACTTGAAAAAGTTTTACAAAATGATATAGGAATTTCTGAATCACTACCAAATGTTGCAGAAGATAAGAGAGAGAAACAAGAAATTCATCCTTCCAGTTCCAATAACAGAGATTTTAATTTATCTGAAAATAATAATAAATTTCAAAAACAGTTTAAAAACGAAGATTCTCACAATGAATATAAAAGTAAGTATTTAGAAAATGGGAACTGTTCTAGAAGCCCTAGATCACCTAATTCTTATCCTTCAAACAGTAAATACAGAAATAATTATACTAATAATGTAATTCAAAACCATCAAAGAAATAATACTCGAAAACATGTGGACGACACTACAATTTCCAACAGATTATTTATAAGTTCAATAAGATCCATAAAACAATCGAACGAATCAAAATCTTTCAATTCGTCACTTAAAATATCTTCCTCAGAAAGGACAAAATCAACACACAAAGACGATTGGAATAGTATTGCATCAAAAGATTTGAAAACTATGCTTCATATTGGTAGCACTAATGATGATAAAATAAATTTTAAGAAAGAAGCAAAATATTTAAATGAAATAGAATTTAGTACTACCTCAAATTCCAACAATGAATCCTCAGGAAAAGAATATCAAAACACTAAAAGCGAAAAAGAAATTAAATATGATCATTGGAATAAGTATAGAGAACAAAGAAATTCAACATATCACTTTAATAAATATAATGCCAATTTTTCTTGCATAAGAGGCGGCATGCACAGGATGAGAAATAATCAGCGGCATTATGGAGCCAGAGGTGGCAGAAATTATCACTCGACGTATTCAAACGCTAATGAGTTGGAATGGAAACCATACAGTAAACAAGTCGAAGAGGGTAGGTTCGATAATGTTCCTCCAAGATTTAAAAGAATGATGAATAACAGAAATGTTACAGAAAAATAAACAGTTATATATTACTTTACTGTGCTTATTATTATTTACATACATATTTGTTATATCAGTACAAATTTCAATGTACCGAAAGAAGAATTTTTACTTTAGTTAAGGAGATAGTTATCAAAAGAAAAGTGGTGATTATTATATAATCTAGTTTGCCAGCATAATAATGCATTTTGTTGTTGTTCTATATTAATATAAATAATTTTTTCATTAGTGAGGTACTGAAATCTGCAATTAAAAGTTAAGAGTTTATACTGTTTAATAAAATGTTTATCATTAATATAAATATTTCTTGCAGCAGTCTTTTCAGTTAGATCTCTGCAGTTCTTCNAATTTAAAATTATGAGTTTAATAGGGTCATGGTTTTATTGTCACTTGAGAGTATATACTGCTGTTAGTTATGCATAGGTTTTAGTTCTTTTCTAATAATATGTTTACAGATTACATGCCACCTGCATGAATATACAATATTTTTACTTTATCTATATTATACATTCTTAAAAATTATAAGCAAAAAAATCTGAAAATAACTTTTGATTTACTTTGTATTTGGTTCTTATTTATCAGTTATAATGAGGTGGAAAAATTAATTTAAAAATTAAAAAATAAATCTAATAATTATAAGAAAAGGATTAAAGAAATGGTTATTTTGTTAACATATTGATGATGATGAGTAAGCATTATTGTTTATCATTATCAATCTTAACCAGTGCTTAAATATTAAACATTAATTATTTTAATGGTTATTTGCATGCAATACAGTAGATTGAATTGCTGTTGTGATGAGTAGTGATGATTGGTTTCTTATATGACAAGAATAAACTCATCAGTACATATAAATAAAAGTTATTTAATAAAGCTCTTAAATAAAAACTATTCTATGGAACAGTGGTTCAAATATACAATTCACATTTAATCCCTTTATCTTCACAAATAAGATTCACAAAAAAACAAAAATTAATAATAATAAGCCAAGCACTTCTTCATTCAGAACATACTATTAAAGATACTAGAAAAAACAGCAAGTCTTGAATGAATTATAATTAATAAATTTTGATTAACATATTTTGAATCAATAAAACCAGAATTTCCACTACTTGTAGTCTTATTTACTAATTTTGCTTAACATTATCAGTTGGTTACTGTTGTGAGTATAGGCAAGTCCCAAAGTCATTTCTAATATAAATGGGAAAAAATAATCAGCATAGTTTGGATTTATTTTAAAATTTTGCAAAGTTAGTAATTCAATCAAGAAGTTATTAAATATCCTTATTTTGATAAATATAACACTAAAAGTAAGTTTTGGTATTCAAAACATTTACCAAAGTTTATCTGAATGTTTTTATAGTAAAACTTTAATTGAAAGTTTAGAATTACATTTGAGAGGACTTCTAATATTGTTACTAATTACGTACAGGTATCCCTTGTATAACAAGGTTCAAAAATTGGGAAAATCTCCCGTACAACACTGTTAATGGTTTTGATCTAACACAGTTTGAGAATTTGAAAATCCTTCTTAAAAAATTTCACAACTTTTAAGTGCAAACTCCTTTATTTGATATTTTTTTATTTAGTAAGCATGCATGTTATCTTAAATTTGCCCATGAATTCTAGAATATAGAAATTTTCTATTTGTTTTGTGCCTTTCATCAGGTTTAATGAAAACTGACAGTGCAATTTTTTTCTTTCTTGCCCTAGCTTTCCTATCAACTGGATGTTGTCGTCATTGCTTTCAGACTTTAGCCTTTAACACTGTCATCGTGTTTACTTTTTATAGATTAATCTTTGTATTTAGTAAAGTTTATTTAAGCAGTTTTAGGTAAATGTTGTTAACTTTTTTTTAATTGTAAGTAATCATTTGTAAAAATGACGAACAGAATACAGTGGTATCTCGGTACTTGAACAATTCAGTATTCAAACACAAATTATAGGAAAAAGTTGCTTTATCCTTAATTGAACAAATGTGACCCACTAGAACAAATTTTCAGTTAATAACATATTTTTATTTTTATGGTAAAATTTAAAAAAAAATGAAGTTGCTGATATTTCTGATCAAGATCAACAAAAAAGCTCAGATGATGATGATACTTTGTAAAAAGAAAATGCCCTCTTTTAACTAAAATTAATATTGACACATCATACAGTATTTTTAATTGTAATTGTTAGTTAATTATTGATTGCTTTAATGAAGATATTTGTCTTAGTAATGAAAAACAAATAATACTTTTTTAATTTCTGGAAACTAAGTACATATTTTGTATTAGTCTTTTGTTTCGTATAGCACGGATTCACATAACGTGCCACTTTTTTGGAAAGTAACTACGATGTTATATTACGGATACCTATATTAGCTTTTTCAATAAATTTACTAAACACAAAGATTTTTTTTTTCAATTTAAATTAACTGAGTTTACTTTCAAGAATTTTCTTATTTAAGAAAACAGATTTATTATCATATAATTTGTTTTGAATATTCAACAATTTCAAATGAGCAGACCATGGATGGAATTGGTATTATATTTACTGGAACTGATGAATAGGTCAAGAATTATTCAATTTTTTCAAANGAGTTTACTTTCAAGAATTTTCTTATTTAAGAAAACAGATTTATTATCATATAATTTGTTTTGAATATTCAACAATTTCAAATGAGCAGACCATGGATGGAATTGGTATTATATTTACTGGAACTGATGAATAGGTCAAGAATTATTCAATTTTTTCAAAGATAAATAACAACCACATTTAATTAAAACATATAAAGCTATTTATATATTACAGGTTGTAACCTAGAATTTTAATATAAAATATTTTAAAGTTCTTTAGATTTAATTTATTTTTAAATTGGATTTCTTGTTCATTTTTTTAATTAGATGGAAGAGAATCTTTTTATTACTTTACATACAGTAATATGGTTTTGATCATGCTGTATAAAACAGGTTTACAATATTTAATAAGCAATGTTTTTAATTTTAGAATCAGTTTAAAGTATATAATGGTAACTTATACACTTATAAAAAAAAATAGTAAAATTAAATTGATTCTTGTGACATATTATATATAGTTAAATTATAATCAAACATTGCATATCGATGAAATGCACAAGAGCATATGAGTCGGAAATTTATTATATTGAAGGAAGAAGGAAACAAAAATGGCATGTAAACATTATTTATGTTTTGCACAAAGTATGACATTGTTAATAATGTAGAAATCACTCTAAAATACTATCCTGTCAACTAACAAGTTTCATGTGAAATATAAAATAATTACATCCTATATCACAACTTGGTTATACTATTAATAAACGAGAATTTTTAATATGCTTTAAAATAGAATTATGTTGTTAAATTTCGTGTTAAATTATATCCATTATAATTAAATGCTATGTAAATGATAATGTTTTGAAGACACATTCAAATCAAACATACTCAAAAACTGTAATAATATCAAATAAATATTTTATTCATATTTTTCACTAAATTTAAATTTTATCAATTTATCAAAAAAATTCTGCACAACTTTAAAGTACATTGGAATATTTGAAACCAAAATATTTATTTTAAATATTTTTGTTTTCTGAATTTAGCACTTAATTTCAAATATTAAAAATCATTTTAATTTTATTAATATATAGATTATCATCATTTAATTGATGTTTTTTTTTCTTTTAAAATTTTAATTTGAATTGTAAAATATCAAAGCAAGATTGTGTTAAATAGAATTTAGAAAAGATAAATCATAAATTATATATATTAATAAGATATGAGTACAGAATATTGAAATTAGTTTATATCTTCAGATATATTCTGTTAAATAAGTAAAAAATTAAAAGATTTATAAACTAGGTTAAAAATTAACAAAACAATAGTTTTAGCTTTTATTTATAAAACTAATCAAAAGGATCATAGTGGATAAAGAGAGTAATTATTTAATTTTGATTTTTATAAAATTAAAATTACACAGGCTATAAAGTCTCTATACATGTTAGAAGTTATCTGTATGTTCCTCTTGCTTCTCTACACGAATTTTCATTTTTTCTTACATTCTTAACTTTTTCTTCCATATTAACAGTTAGAAGTATCTAATTAAAGTATTCCCCAATAGCCATTTTTAGATGTTTAACTGTTATAAGTCAGAGTTGAGAAATTTTCTCCCATATAATGTTCAAAAGTGAACAATCATATATTGGATCTGGACTTCAAAGCAGGCCACACTCAATAAGATCTTTATCCATTCTATCACCTGTTGAATTTATTGAGATACTATGTATATTCCAGTATGTATTGGTCTCAGCCACAACAACAGCATCGATAAACTGTTTCATAAGGTTTTACTGGAATATCTGACAACATAACAAGATATAGAAGCAAATAGAATTGTATTAGCATTTGCGGACAGTTTGTTAAAATAAATTTGGGTTAATATTGACGAGTAGTAAAAATGATATTAATAGTATATAACTGTGGAGACAGCCATATTTATCAGAACTCACCGTACCCACAGCCCGACGAATGCAATGTGCATCGATTGGTTTACCGACAAACTCATCGGTGAATATTGGAACGCATTTTAGTACATCATGGTTCACCTGTTTGATGTAGACTGGAATGTACTCATCTTCTAATTAAGTCTCCCCTCATTACGATACAATAGATAAGTTTGTTCCTTAAAGATATCAACAACAATCAACATAGTTATGTTTTATCACAGAATTCTTACTAAAAAGTGAAGAAAATTATTATAAATCATCATCATCATATTTTTTTTAATAGAAAAAACAAAGTTTAAGTAATGTATCATATCTAAAAATAATTCAAAGTATCATGATCTGTTATATGGAAAAAAAAAGTTATTCAAGTAGTACTTAGGAAGAAATCTAAAACAAATGGAAATATATTTTGGATAATTCATCACTTACAGATAAAAATGACTTAATAAAATATATTAATTTGTAATAAGATACACTCTCCTATGTAAATATAATACAAGTAACACTGTTAGAAGTTTTTATTAATTAAGCATAGTTTGTTGGAGTAATTTTTAAAAATTAGTAAACATTTAATTATTGTCAATTCTGTCTTACAAATTCTATTTTACATTATTCTAAATTAAGAATTTAATAATGCTGCTTATACAAGAATTATGTGAATAAGATTAATAGAAGAAAGGAAACAATGGAGAGGCCAACATCCTGTATTGGATAATTAGAGATGATGATTATGATGATGATATATATGAATTTGAATGATTCAGATATTCAGTTTTTTAAAGTATATTACCCCCAAAAAAATAAACATAAAAATTACTTCAATTAAAAAGTAAATTGTTTAATTAATTCAGTTAAGTTAAACAATTAAAAATCAATTCATTCTAATTGTTAACTTGTTTTTAATTATCTTGCTAAAAGTAACAGTGCAAGTTAATTAAATAGAAAAAAATTGTGTGTAAATTTAAATTCAAATTTTGTGTAATTGATTAATTTTTGTAAAATAATTTGAATTTTAATGAATTTAAAATAGTTTTTTATATTCAATTGAATGCAATAATAAATCAACAGCAATTAATGTTAAAATTAATTAATTTTAATTTTATGTTTTAAATACACAAGGTATTGACAATACGCATTTTCTATTAACAATACAATTTTTAACAGTACGTCGATACATAATATAGATCCATTTCCGTATAAATAATTTTTTTTGTAATATATATATAAATTGAACCGAAAAAATTCTCAGAGGACGAAAAATAACGATTCGTACAGTTTAAAATAATTAATTTTAAAAAATTCTCTGGAATTTTTCAAATTTTCCACCGATTTTTCAACACATACGATCATTTTTAAATTAGTGACGTCACAATTCTCGTACCCTGTATATCAAAATGTATCCCCGTAAAAGTCCAAGAAAGGAAGACAACAAAATGGCGGCTAGCGAGTCAACTACAGATGATTCACTTTATCCCATCGCAGTATTAATCGACGAATTAAGAAACGAAGATGTTCAGGTATTCGTTAAATCTATTATTTTAAGTTTAAAATCCATTCTAGTATCGTTGCTTTTATAAAAAGAAAGTAAATGGAGTTTGTTTTGTTCAGTTTTTTTAGTAGAAGCTTCAGTTGCAAGTTTAGCCTAAGTTTACACATTTAATGGCTCTCTGTTCAAGTAATTAAATTAAAATCAATATTTAGAGAATGTATTTTAAATTTTTTCAAGTATTTCTTCACAATTCTACACAATTTCAATGTTAAACATGATTTAAAGGATAAAATCTCTTAAAATAAATAACCATTAAGTCCCATAAATCAGATTTGATGTAATGAACATGTCATATGTAAAATGCATTATAAAAGAATTTAATAATTGTAATGTGTAATGCAAGAACAAATTTCATTCACAACTGTTAATGGCCTATTCAAGGAATATGTGTGAAAAAATTTAAATTTTTATTGGATTGCAGCCAGTTAAATAGAATTTTTTGCTGGCAGGTTCGACTTTTCTGTATTACTAAAACAGGATGATTCTCTTCGATTAAATCTGTCTGTGGAAAATGCCGTTGTGCCGTATGTAGACGAGATCGGTCGGAGTAATCGGAGCAGTTTTCATTGTTTTTTAAGCATTCAAAAAGATCAATTTTAATTTCTGAAGTAATACTAGAATATGGGGAAATTTCTGCTGTTGAATTACTTTCGTGTGATTCTAAATTTCATTTCAATTTTTACTTGTTTATTTCATTATTGATAAGTTTTTAAAAGTAATTTATGCACTATATAACAAAGAATGTGTTAAAATTTTTGCATGTTTTATTTCATTTAAAAATTGTTTTTCCGTCGTATCGTAAGGTTAATGTTAGATGTAACACCGAAAATTAATATATATTACTAAAATTATAAGTGACTAATTATATATAATGTTGAAAATTAGAACTGGACCATATAAATTACCATTTTATAGTACTGCAAACTCTAAATACATTGTTATTCGACTTTAGATATTCAAAGTTCGAGTCGGTATTCTGCAAGGAATGTGTGGATTCTTAGAGATTCAAAATGTAATTTACAGAATCACTATGTTTAAACAAAAAATACATTTGTTGTAATATAAAATTTAAAAAATTAATTCTAAATGAATGTTAGAACATATACTTTCAGCCGTGCATTGTTCATCAACAATGAAGTTACCATTGAAAGAGGTTGATGTCTATTTTTTGACAGCTAAATCCAGATTTCTAGTGCTTTGCTGTACTGTATTATGAAGTTTTTAATAATATTTTAAAAATTGATTTACTTTGTAATTGATACACAATCTGTATTAATAGAAGTTACTTTTAGGTAATTTGTATACACACATGTATGTAAATAAACTACCTAAAAGTAACTTTTACTTGTGTGTCTATCCATATAAAGAAGTATATATTGTATGAGATATGGGAATAAATTATTTTGTATGAAATTAATTTATGATTTGCACTAATTTTATTAAGAAATTAAATTAAAATTTAGTAATTAGGCCTATACAATTGAAATTTAGTGTAAGTGAAGTTTTAAAATAATTATCAATACTTGATATGATAAAAATTAAATGATTAACTGATATATGGCTGATTTGGTTTTATCTTATGCGTAAGATAAAAATGAAATATAATTTACACATGCAGTTTAAAATTCCATGCCAAGAACTTATAATTTTATTGCTAAAATAAAAATTTTTCCATTTTTTCTCGAATTAATAATAATAGATTCAACAAAAATGATATCATACTTAAGTTATGAAATTGTAATGATGTAATAATGATAGTTTCATTATAATTTACATACCATTTATATAGTTCATTAAATTTTTAAACAATTTACTTTTTACAGTTCATTAGTATAGTATTTTTAAAAACATTAGAAATGCATGCATGTCTGCAGTTGTCTGTATAATGTTAAATAATTTAAAGACTTCTGACAGTAAAGTAAATTTACAGTTCACAAATATACATGTCATTGAATATAATAAAATGATTTAACTATTAGAAACATGCAATATACTTATGAATAATAATTTGCAAAAATAAAAACATTTAACACAATTAGAATTATGATTTTATTAAAAACATCTTAATGTGCCATTATGATGATAGCAAAATAACAGTTCTGATTACAAAACACCACTGAAAATTATGTTAAATATTTTTATAAAGATGTGTATTAAATAACGATATCTTCTAACTAATTACTGGTACTAATGACCACTATTACTTAACTTCTAATTCCGGTAACATGGCATTTAATACATCGAACGAACGCTTTCTGTTTGGGCAGGCCTTGTATATTTCTAGGGCTTCCGGGCCCTAGAAATATTTGAAACCAGCCTGACGGGCAAGTGCGTCAATTTTAACGATGGTAATACAATATCGTATGCCTGGCAGTACTTGTGTGAGGACCATGGCAATGCTAATGATTAAACAACTCGTATTATTTACAGTTATGCGGGATCCTCAAATAATAAGTACATATGGGTGGCCTTATATGTATATATTGCATTTGCATAAATGCAACTGTTAAGTTTAAGTTGGATTAATGTTCCAAATGTTCAAAATTTAATGTATTTGACACTTCATAGTTGCATTTAATATATGAAAATATGGGATACTAATGTAAATATTTTTTAAGATGATGATGATAATTTTTATAACATTTGTAACAATAATGATTACCTATTTATAAATTAAAATTTAGTACTTTTATCATTGAATTTACATTAATTGTTCATTGGAGGTCAAATAAAGTAAAAATACTATACAAAAGAAGAAATATTTGATAACATATTTTTGAACAAAATTAACAGATACAAGAAATTTTATGAGTATGGGGCATAATCGTAAAAAGTTGCATAGTAGCAATTTAGTAGCACTTAACGAATAACAGAAGACTCTAATTTATCATGAAAGTACTGCCAAGCATATGAGAGATTTTTCTCATCTTTGTAGTTGATGCATTTGCCTTTAATTTTAGCTTTGTAAATTTCTAATGCTTTGAGTTCTGAGGTGGTCAGTGTACTGGGATTGCCTTGATTATAGCTGCATTTTGGAGGTTTAGCTGTACATCATTTTCTTAGGTGTCAATAAATGGTTGTGATCAAAGCTGCTGTGGCTTTTTAATCTTAAAAAGTGAACAGAAAATGGACTTAAGAAAACATCATAAAATTTTTAGAATCATATGAAAACATCCATTGTTATGCCCAATGTTTATAAAAGATGAGAAAGTACAGTACTGTATATGTAAATAAAGTAGAAGCTATAAACATTGAAGATTTTGGTGTTAGGAAAATAAATGCACAAGATTTATTTTTTTAAAAAAATGCCCAACTTCGATTTTTCTTTCAATCAATAATCTTGCAAAAATTTGACACGCATTACTGCCAAATTTACAAGATATTTTGTAATTACAGCAATACAAAATGAATATTCTGATAACCAAGCAGTTAAAAGTTTCTTTGCCAGTTTCATTTTTTAACTGGTAAGAGAACTTGTGCCTGCAAATCCATACACATGTAAACATTAATGCTGATTTTATTTTATTGATATGAATAATTGATTTTTATTTACTGTACTGTGTGATTATTCATTTCAATAATACTCACAAATTAGGCAGTTATAATCATGTTTTGATTACTGTTACTAGTGTTTAATTTTTTGTTTTTGATAAATTCATACAAATTAAGATATATTAGCCATTCTAATCTGTTAAATAAAAAGAAAAGCTGTATTTATATTAAAAATTTAGTAAATAATTTAACTTACAATAGTATATTTAAACAATATTGAATTTTAATAAGGAAATGTGCAATTACTCTGAATATTAACCCTTCTGTTACTTTGCTTTAATTATGGAAATAGCTGTTAAATATTAAAAGTTTTAAAAATATTATAATTATTGATATAATAAGCAAAATTATTTAAGTTGATTATTTGTAAACATTACAATATTATGCATATTAAGACAAAACAAATTCAAGATAATTAGGTTAAAATTAATGTAGATTAAATATTAAATCAAGAGATTGAGAGAATTAATTTTAGAATTTGAAATATTTAAAAAAATCAATATTACAGTGTTTTTTTATATATATTTTCTGACATTTGGTCCTGGAACTAACTCCATATAAGTAATTATTTTTTGTTAATGGTCCTCAGACTGTTGATCTATTATATCAGGGCTTCTTAAACTATGGATCGTGACCCTATTTCGGGTCGCTTAGCGAAATCTTGGGGTGGCGAGATTTTAATGCAAAATATTGAAAATAATTTGTGAGAGTTTGAAAATGGCACGTTTTGTGTCATAGGTTTCGTGAGTTGCACTTTGTGTCACTTCTGGTGCAGTGAGACAACAATTGTAGGTGAACTAGTGTAGTGTTGTCGATTTTCAAATTATTCAATTGTCTCTGTTCCATTGTAACACAAGAGTGAACTGTGGTAGTACACCGTTATTGTTTTTGCAAATTTGCATATATCTTTATTTTATTTTATTTTTTTGGGTCGTGAAAAAAAATCACAATCATAAATGGGGTTGTGAATAAAAAAGTTTAAGAAGCACTGTATTATATCAGTCATTGAAAAATCGCAGTTTCGAACAATATTATTTGGTATTTTATTTTTTTAGATTTGAAACAGTGATTTAGTACCTTTGGAGGAATAAATGTGATAATCATCATGAATGAGTATGAAAAGTTGATGCTGCTTGCATGTGTCTTGCTGTTTAGTTTCACTTGGATCATTTGCACTCCTGTCTGTACTGCCAGAAGTATATTTAACTCATAAACAAATACCCAAAGGAAAAAATTATGTTGTTATTTTTTTTTTCCTGTAAGATTGTGATGTATGTATATTTATATACATAGCTGTGCAAGAGCTTCCTAGCATCTAGGAATGTTGAAGGAGGAGGAAGAGATGATGATGACAAACTTTTGCCAAGACACATGTAGGGCTGATGAAAGTAAAATCTTTCTTTTATGCCTGCAGCAAAAGTGATGGTGATTGTGAGAGCATTTTCAGACATAACAAAT